TTTCTTTTCTTTTTTTTCTTTTTTTTTTTTTTGAGACAGATTCTTAAGCTATCACCCTGGGTAGAGTGCCATGGCATTACTGCTTCCAGCAATCTAAAACTCTTCGGCTCAAACAATTCTCTTGCCTCAGCCTCCCAAGTAGCTGGGACCAGAGGTGCTCGCCACAATGCCTGGCTATTTTTTGGTTGTAGTTGTCAATGTTGTTTGGCAGGCCCAGGCTGGATTTGAACCAGTGTATGTGGCTGGTACCCTAGCTGCTTGAGCTATAGGTGCCGAGCCTAAGCCCAAAAGTTTGAGGTTGCTGGAAGCTGTGACACCATGGTATTCTACTCAGGGTGACAGTTTAAAACTCTGTCTCAAAAAATAAATAAATAATTTAAGTACATAATTGGCATAACTGATTTGAATAAGGACAAACACAATACACTGTAAGCAACATAGCTCAACAAATCGGAAACAAGTCTGCAGTCACCCAGTAGGCAGGGGCGTCCAAACTTTTTTATTCTCTGATCCACATATTGTGAGAATAACAGCTGTCTTGGGTCACATATTAAATACACAAACACTAAGGAAAGCTGATTAGCAAAAAAAAAAAACAAAAAACTTTATGCATACATTTTGTGACATCTGACTCCATAGATAAGCAAAATAGTTCTCACAAAACCAGCATATGGCCTGTGAATGCAGGTTTGACATCCTTGCTAGAGTACCCTTCCAGGTGTTCACTGCACCCTCTCAACAGATTTTACCATACAAGGAAACAGAGCATAGTTAAATTCAGTAAGCTATTATGTGAAGGTTGGTTAGAAGAGTTTCTGGGCTTGGCACCTGTTGTTCAGTAGGTAGGGGGCTGGCCACATACACCAGGGCAGTTGGGTTCTAACCTGGCTTGGGTCTGCTAGACTACAACGACAACTGCAACAAAAAAATAGCTGGGAGTTGTGGTGGGCACCTGTAGTCCTAGCTACTTGGGAGGCTGAGGCAAGAGAATTGCTTAAGCCTAAGAGTTTGAGGTGGTTGTGAGCTGTGAAGGCAAGACACTCTACTGAGGGTGACATAGTGAGACTGTGTCTCAAAAAAAAAAAAAAATCCAATTCTTTAGGCAAAGCTTAATTTCTTTTTCTTTTTCTTTTTTTTTGAGACAAAGTCTCACTATGTCACCCTCGGTAGAGTGAAGTGGCATCCCAGCTCACAGCAACCTCCAACTCTTGGGCTTAAGCGATTCTCTTGCCTCAGCCTCTCAAGTAGCTGGGACTACAGGCACCCTCCACAGCGCTCAGCTATTTTTTTGTTGTTGTCATAGTTGTCATTGTTGTCTGGCAGGCGCTGGGCTCAAATGCTCCAGCCCCTGTGTATGTGGCTGGTGCCCTAGCTGCCTAGCTACAGGCACAGAGCCCACAGCTTCATTTCTTTAACCATCTATAAATCAAAGAATCTTTAAACCTACCTATAACCTGTAACTGCTCCTTCCCCCACACCCTATCAAGATGTCCTGCTTATTTGGGCCAAACCAATGTTTGACCTGTCAGGCATCCTCAAACTATGGCCCTGGGGCCACATTCAGCCAGCCTAGGACATTTATCCAGCCTGCCAGGTGTTTTTGCCACCGCTGCCTGTCCTGCTTAGCAGCTGACTCGTCCCAGGGCTGTAGTCTGGCCCTGAACGGTCTGAGGGAAAGTGAACTGGCCCCCTGTTTAAAAAGTTTGAGGACCCTTGAATGTATTAATTACAATCTTACATGTAATTCCTATCTCCATGAATGTATGAAGCCAAACCCTAACCCTGCTACTGCTGCTACATTTTCTCAGAACCTCTTGGCTTGGGGCCCATAGCACAGTGGTTACGGGGCCAGCCACATGCACTCAGGCTGCTGTGTTTGAACCCCGGCCAGGGCCAGCTAAACAACAATGACAACTACAATAGGGTGACCAGATTTTAACATCTGTAAGGTGGGACAACATGGCCGGGGGTGGGGGCGGGGGCGGAGACGGGGCAGGCAGGGCCTGACAACAATGCAAACTTTGATAAGCAGTTCTCAATAATCACTTCTCAGTCATTATTTATTACAGTTTAACATTATAAAATTAACAAAAATAATATAAAACTCATATTCTGGCAAAATAGCCATAAGGCGGCCGAAAACCATATATTCCCTTCTTGTTCTCCAGCCTCTTTCTGCATTCTTTCCAAAAATCGGGACTTTTTAAAAATGCCGCGGGACGTTGGATGAATTGTTGAAAAGTGGGATTGTCCTGCCAAAATCGGGACGTCTGGTCACCCTAAACTACAACAACAAAAAAATAGCTGGGCATTGTGGTGGGCACCTGTAGGCCAAGCTACTTGGGAGGCTGAGGCAAGAGAATCACTTAAGCCCAAGAGATTGAGGTTGCTGTGAGCTGTGATGACACTGCACTCTACCCAGGGTGACAGCTTGAGATTCTGTCTTAAAACAAAAACAAAACCAAAACCTCTTAAAAACACATTCTGAGTTGTGAGTCACACATGCTTGGCTCATAATAAACTTCTTTATTTTACAGAGTTTGGGTTTTTTTCCATTGACACCTGTTGTCAAATCTCTTAATTTTTGCCCTTATTTGTTGGAAGGAAAATAGTACTTTAACTGCCTGTCCTTATGACTCCCAAATTTGAGCATCTTTTTATATACCTGTATTTATTGACTGTTTACATTTATACGTCTATGAGTTGTCTAATCTTTTCTCTTGCCCAATTTTTGTATGTGGTATTGTTTATTTATTTTCTTGATTTCTAACAGCTGTTTATACAGTTTGTATATTCTTTTTTTCATGTGTTGCAAGCATTTTCTCTTTCAGTGTAATGTGGGGGAGGTAACAGGCACTGGAGCCTAATTGGGTTGGAATTCCAGTTTTGCTACTTCTTAGTTGTATGATCTTGGGCAAGTGACTTAATTCTATGTGCCTCAGTTTCCTTATTTTGTGAAATGGGAATACTCTTAGTCCTTACCCTGCAGGTTTTTTGTAAATTGTGTCATCATCTAATCTGGTTTTGAAGGTTAAATAAATTGGCCTGGAGGGGTGGCTCAGGCCTGTAATCCTAGCACTCTGGAAGGGCAAGCTGGGAGGATACCTTGAGCCCAGGAGTTGGAGATCAGCCTGAGCGAGAGCCAGACCCCCATCTCTACTAAATATAGAAAAATTAGCCGGCATTTTGGTGGGCACCTGTAGTCCTAGCTTGAGGAGGCCGAGGCAGGAAGATCACTTGAACTCAGGAGTTTAGGTTGCTGTGAGCTAGGCTGATGCCAGGACACTGGAGCCTACACAGCAGAGTGAGACTCAGTCTTAAAAAAAAAAAAAATTAAATGAGTTAATACAGGCACAGAGCTGGAGTGAATGCCTGGTGAAAGCCAACATTGATTGAGGGCTTAGTATTTGCCACTTGCTTTCTTACTTCTATTATCTTTTTCTGTATATTTTCTAGAAATTTAATCTTTTTATTTATGTAAGCCAAATATTATGGATTTTTTAATTTTATTCAAATTAATATGAGGATACAATATTTAGGTTACATTGTTCTCACTTCCAGAGCATGTTGTGTTTTATGACTAGGAAGGCTGGTCCTCAGAGGTGTATTCTACCATGAAATAGTAATAATTGTTAACCATTATGAATTAGACAACAAATAGCAGAGTTTGTCAGAAACGTGGGCAGAAGTTGCCACACACACTATACTATTAAGAGTGGGACATAACAGGGATTTAGGGACTTTAAAAAGAATTAGGCTGATTTATATATTGTTAATTAAAATATATGGGAAGTCATTGATTTAGACGGAGCTTCTGTGCTAGGCCCTAACAGAGCAATCCATAATGGAGTTACTCATGCTAAGCTTCCAACTCACCAACCCAAAATCTAAATCGTTTACTTATAAAATCTACTTTTTTGAGATATCAGGAGATGATAGTCAAATCCCATTAAGCCAACAAGTTTTTTTTTTTTTTGAAGCTGAGGCTCAGGCTGTCACCCTAGGTAGAGTGCTGTAGTATCATAGCTCACAGCAACCTTCAACTCTTGGGCTTAAGTGATCCTCTTGCCTCAGTTTTTCTACTTTTAGTAGAGTCAAGGCTGGGGTGAGGGTCTCACTTTTGCTCAGGTTGGTCTTGAACTTGTGAAGTCAAGGAAAGCACCTGCCTTGCCCTCTCAGAGTGCTGTGAGCCACTGTTTCAGGCCTCAAGAAGATTTTTAGATGCTGATAAGGAAACTTTGAAACCACCAACCTGCTTGTTTATCTTTCTTCAGCGTTTTCTGCCTATAAAGCTCATATGCTCTGCTCAGCTCATCTGGGGTCCTTTCCATTTTGTATACTGGATGCTGCCCAGTTTATGAATCGCTATAAAGTCCAATTAGATCCTTAAAACCTCATTTGATGAAATTCTGTTCTTTGACAGTATTTTTTACTGACATTTGTACTCCCTAAAGCAGCGCTGCTCACATGTGCCTGTTGAGCACTCGAAATATGATTAGTGCAAATTAAGATGTGCTGTATGGGCAAAATCCACATCAAATTTGAGAGACTTAGTATGAAGAGAATGTAAAATATCATAATTTTTTATAAACCATATGAAGTGGGGGACAAAATCATAAATACATTTTGTTAAATACCGAAGTACATAGAGAGGCTGCCAAAAAATGTATATACATTTTAAGAAAGGGAAAAAACTGTATTACAATCATCATTCTCAATATATACTGATAACAAAAGATGAATACAAGTGACGTTTAACCAAACGTGACTTGAGTATTACCAATTTAATAATTTGTTCCTTTCTTAGAATGTGCATACATACTTTGGCACCCCGTGTTTATATAGGATGTTTACCATCCAGGGCACTGTGACTACGACACCAGCCCCACGAGCGGCCCCGCCTTTCTCGCTCGGGCGGAGCCGGCCCGCCCCGGCGGGCGGCGGCAGCGAAGACCCGGAGGTGGCTCTGTCCTCGCCGACTCCCTCCCCGCCCCTTCCGTGCCCCGAGCACATGCGCTCTGGACGCGCTCCTGTAGGTTTCCCGGGGTCCCAGTTCTAGGAGCAGGGGCGGGAGCGGAGGCCTCCCGCACTAAGAGGACGCCCCCGGGTTGTCCCGCCATGCGTTGGGGGCTGCGCCCGCGCGGGCCGGGGGCGGCGGCCCTGGCCTCGGCCCGGAATTTGTGGGGGCCGCCACGCCTTCCCTGTCGCCTGGGATGGCGCGGGACGACGAAGAGGCTTCTACTGCGCTCAGTCACCGGGGCTAGCAACCAGCTGCCGAACTCGAATAGCGGCAAATACCGGGACACTGTGCTGCTGCCGCAGACCAGCTTCCCCATGAAGCTGCTGGGCCGCCAGCAGCCGGAGACGGAGCTGGAGATCCAGCAGGTAGGGCCCTCCCGGCGCGGCCTCCGGGGAGCCCTGACCCGTCGGGGGGCGGTGGGCCGGCCGGGAGCCACGCCTCTGCGGCCTCGGGCGGGGCAGGTGGGCGGGGCTGCTGTGACCTGATCCCCGGAAGTCATCTGCTGCCCGCGGGTTTTATTGGCTGAAAACCTAAGGAAGAAATCTCTGGCTGGGTGCTTTGGTTGTGGTGGGCTCCGGCGCGGGGTATGGAGCCGACACTGGCGATGCGTGTGTCCCATGTATGTGCCAATTTTAGCATAGGCAAAACATAGAGACTTTGGACACCTTTCCGGTGACTTGTAAAAAGTAAGTTAACATGGACACATCTAAATAAAAGTTCAATTAGTAGGAATGAGGGGAAGTTGAAGCCCGCCTTTGTATGTTCTTAGGTCCCTAGTTGGACTTAGGGCTGCTTTGAAGAATAAGGTGATAGTACTTCCTCTGAGACCCTCCTGCAAACTATGTCTTTGTCTCCCATACTAGACCGAACAAGTAGAGATTCTCCTGTTAGGGTCTTTAAAAACTCATAGTTTTGAAGTATTGGTTAAGTAAATATGCTCAGTCTCAAATATTCTGACACTAGATTTCAAATTTCTTTCTTTTTTTTTTTTAAAACAGAGCCTCAAGCTGTCCCCCTGGGTAGAGTGCCATGGCATTACAGCTCACAGCAACCTCCAACTCCTGGGCTCAAGCGAGTCTCCTGCCTCCGCCTCCCAAGTAGCTGGGACCACAGGCGCCCGCCACAACGCCCGGCTATTTTTGGTTGCAGCCATCATTGTTGTTTGGCGGGTCCGGGCTGGGAATTCGAACCGGCCACCGTAGGTGTACGTGGCTGGCGCCTTAGCCGGTTGAGCTATAGGCGCCGAGCCCAGATTTCAAATTTCATAAACCTGTTTTCACCCTTGAATTGTTAAAAGTACTTCAGTACTTTCTGTATACCAGAAAGTATTGACAGTTTTCTCATTTGAATCTTCACACCAGCCCTGTAAAATGAATAATAATTGACGTTTTTTTTTTTCAGGTAAAGAAATGGGCCGATAAATGCCAAGTGACTTGGCCCAGGTCACAAAGCAAGTAAGGGAAGAGGAGTGGGACTGCAGTGAATTTTGGTCCAGATTTAGGGAATGGCAAGTGTTAAGGCCAAAGAATAGCAAGGAGTGTATTGGGGATGTGTAGGTCCTTCAGCTGGGCTGGAGTGAATAGTGAGAAATGGGGAACCTGCAGCCTCAAGGTCACATGTGGCCCTCCAGAACCCAAGTGCAGCCCCTCAACCAAATCCAAACTTCACAGAATGAATTCCTTTTTCATAAGGGTTTGTTCTGTAAAATTTGGATTTAGCAAAAGGCTGCACTTAAGAATCTAGAAGGCCACATGTGACCCCAAGGCAGCAGGTTTCCTACTCCACCTTTGTAGGGGTACAATATATACCCCTACACCTGTATAACATATAAAGAGTGTAGACTTTAATCTGAGGTTTATGGGGAAACTATTGAAAGGCTTTAAGAGAAGACTACTCAGGTGTGCATTTCAGAAACCTTACCATTTGTAGTAATATTTCAGAGTTGAATAGATTGAATGGGATATGAAATAAGTAAGTGTTGGCTCTTAAGTCATACTTATGGTAAGAATCAGGAGCATGTATTTATATGGTGTTCAGACATTATTGTTCTTTTTAAACAGAAATGTGGATTTTCAGAACTTTATTCATGGCAAAGAGAAAGAAAAGTGAAGACAGAATTTTGTCTTCATGATGGACCTCCTTATGCAAATGGTGACCCTCATGTTGGACATGCTTTAAATAAGGTAATTACAATTATGAGACTCGAAAGAAAATGTTTATGTAAATACTTTCTACAAAGGAATGCATTCTAATTGTATGATAGTTATGTAAATTTACATTGGCACAAAAACTAAAAAGTTCCAGTAGAAAGCAGGAGTAAGCAATTTTTGTACTTTGTGAAAAACAACATTGCTGGTGTTTGCTCTGAGCTTATTGTACTGCACATTAGCAAATGTCATTTCACTCAGCATGTAATTATTGTGTCTACTGTGTGCCAGGCATTGTTCTAGAGTCTGGGACTACCAGTGAACACAATGAAGATAGATTATAGAGGTGGAAGTGTTTGGAGACGGTGATAACAGTAAGGTGACTATTAACAATAATTCAGGAGAGAGACGATGGGGAAGTTGACCTGCATTGAAGCTATAAAGATGATGTGAAAAATGATCAGATTCTGTGTATAGTTTAAAGGTAGAGCTGACAGAATTTACTAATGGATTGGATGTGGGACGTAAGAGAAAGTGAAGAGTCATTGCTTCCAATGATTTTGTCTTTTTTTTGAGACAGAATCTCACTGTGTCATCCTTGGTAGAATGCTGTGGCGTCACAGCTCATAGCAAGCTCCAACTCTTGGGCTTAAGCTATTCTTTTGCCTCAGCCTCCCAAGTAGCTGGGACTACAGGAGCCCACCACAATGCCCAGTTATTTTTTTGTTGCAGCTGTCATTTTTGTTTTAGCTGGCCCGGGCTGGGTTCCAACCTGCCAGCTTCGGTGTATGCGGCTGGCTCCCCTAACCACTGTGCTACGGGCGCCGAGCCAATGATTTTGTCTTAAGCACTTAGAAGGACAAGAGTAGCTGTTAACTGAGACCGAGAAGACCATAGGACAGGCATCCTCAAACTACAGCCTGTGGGCCACATGTGGCCGGCTGAGGACATTTATCTGGCCTGCCGGTTGTTTTTTTGCCTCCACTACATGTCCTACTTAGCAGCTGACTTGTCCTGGGGCCCACAGTCTGGCCCTCCAACAGTCAGAGGGACAGTGAACTGGCCCTCTGTTTAAAAAGTTCGAGGACCCCTGCCATAGGAAGATTAGTTTGGGGGAGGAAGACCAGGAATTCGGATCTGGGTATGTTAATTTTGAGATAAGATTAGATTTTCAGGTAGAGAAATAATATAGACAGGTACTGGAGATGTCAATAGCATATAGTGCTTAGGGTTGGTTTTTCGTTTTCTTTTTGAGTGATGGCTGCTAGGTTGGTTTTAAATGGGGAATGAAATGAGAAAGAAATTTGGTTTCTCCTCTGAGAGAACTCACTAATCTTTCTCTCTGCTTTCTATTGTGAAGGGTAACAGTGATTGAAATTTCTACATGATTACATTGAGAGAGCTCTGCACCTGTGGCTCAAGTGGCTGAGGCTCCAGCCACATACACCTGAGCTGGTGGGTTCGAATCCAGCCTGGCCCACCGAACAACAATGACAGCTGCAACCAAAAAATAGGCAGGTGTTGTGGTGGGAGCCTGTAGTCCCAGGTACTTGGGAGGCAGGGCAGGACAATCACTTGAGCCCAGAAGTTGGAGGTTGCTATGAGCTGTGATCCCTCGGCACTCAACCCAGGGCTATAGCTTGAGGCTCTGTCTCAAAAAAAAAAGATTACATTGAGAGAATAGTAGTAGTCTATCTTCCGGGAAAACTTTTTTTGTTATAGATATTTGTTAACTCATCTTTTTTTAACTTTTTTTTTTTTAGTCTCACTGTCACCCTTGGTAGAGTGCTGTGGCATCACAGCTCACAGTAACCTCAAACTCTTGGGCTTAAGCGATTCTCTTGCGTCAGTCTTCCAAGTAGCTGGGACTACAGGGCCCACCACAATGCCTGGCTATTTTTTTGTTTTGGTTGTCATTGTTTAGTAGGCCTGGGTGGGTTCGAACCTGCCTGCCTCATTGTATTTGGCTGGCACCCTAACCACTGTGCCATAAGCTCCGAGCCCAGTATAGTATTTTAAATTCATCCATGTAGTTATAGGTATGAATAACTTATTCTTTTTTATTTTTTATTTATTTATTTGAGACAGAATCTCAAGCTGTTGCCCTAGGTAGAGTACTATGGCGTCACAGCTCACAGCAACCTTCAGCTCTTGGGCTTAAGCGATAATCTTGCCTCAGCCTCCAACGTAGCTGGAACTACAGGCGTCTGCCATAACACCCAGCTATTTTTTGGTGGTAGTTGCTGTTGTTTGGCAGGCCTGGGCTGGATTCAAACTGGCCAGCTCTGGTGTATGTGACTCGCGCCCTAGCCACTGACCTCCAGGTGCCCAGCCAATTGATTCTTTTTTAATTGTGTAGCAGCATTTCATTGCGAGACTATGGCACAATTTGTTTAGTCATTCTTCATTTTTTTGTTTATACGTATATCACTGACCAGGTCAGTACTGCTTTTGGAATAGTACTGTTGGAGGGGTGTGCTCCCACCGAATGGGCACAATGTAACAATATATGGCACACATCCTGGGTGCTGGACACGACTATAACAGGGACTATACTTAACAAATGCAAACGCTGTAACAATTGATTGTACCCTCGTGTTAATCTGAAATAAAGAACAGTACTGCTATAGATAATATGTATTACATATTGTATTAAGAATTAAATGGTAGGCTCGGCGCCTGTGGCTCAAGCGGCTAAGGCGCCAGCCACATACACCTAAGGTGGCGGGTTCAAATCCCTAGCCCGGCCCGCCAAACAACAATGATGGCTGTAACCAAAAAATGGCCAGGCGTTGTGGCGGGCCCCTGTGGTCCCAGCTACTTGGGAGGCTGAAGCAGGAGACTCGCTTGAGCCCAGGAGTTGGAGGTTGCTGTGAGCGTGATGCCATGGCACTCTACCCAGGGGGATAGCTTGAGGCTCCGTCTCCAAAAAAAAAAAAAGAATTAAATGGTAGGGTGGTGCCTGTGGCTCAAAAGGGTAGGGCGCAGCCCCATATGCCGGAGGTGGCAGGTTCAAACCCAGCCCCAGCCAAAAAAAAAAAAGAACTAAATGGTATTGCAAACTTCAGAAATATTTGGGATTCATTATATACTTGCGCGTTTCTCAGTGTTGTTTGTTGGCTTCCACAGAGGCCAAATTGTGCTCAGTTGCTTCATAGTTCATTTCTGAATTATTAGATATATTACATAAGAAAGTAAAAAGGCATTTGTATATTTCTTTTCATGGAAAAAAATGAACTGCTTAATTTTTCTTTTTCTTCGTACATGCTATTTGATTATACTTTCATTGAAAATTTATTTTAAGCTTTATATTTGAGGTGTAGATTCAGATGCAATTAAAAAAATAATATAGAGACTCTCTTGTACATTTTACTCAGTTTTTCCCAATGATATCTTCTTGTCGAGCTGTAATACAATGTCCCAGCTAGGATATTACATTGAGAGAATAGTAGTAGTCTATCTTCCATGAAAGAGGATGTAATCAAGATTTCTATCATCAGGAGAATCCCTCATGTTGCCCTTTCATAACCACACACATTTTCTTCTTGTCTCCCCCCTTCCTTAACCTTTTGCAATCTCTAATATGTCTTCTCTCTCTTTTTTTTTTTTTTTTAAGACAGAGTCTTACTGTGTCACTGTGACATCACAGCTCACAGCAACTTTCAACTCCTGGGCTTAGGCGATTCTCTTGCCTCAGCCTCCTACATAGCTGGGACTATAGGTGCCTGCCACAATGTCCAGCTATTTTTTGTTGTTTTTGTTGCAGTTGTCATTGTTGTTTTAGCTGGCCCAGGGGCTGGGTTCAAACCTGCCAACTTTGGTGTATGTGACTGGCGCACTAACCACTGTTCTATGGGCGTGGAGCCTTTTTTTTTGAGACAGTCTTATTTTTTTCTACCTTGGTAGAGTGCTGTGGCATCATAGCTCACAGCAACCTCAGACACTTAGCTCAGGTAGGTGATCCTCTTGCCTCAGTATTTAATTGTTTTTTATTTTGTTTGTTTTTTGAGACAGAGATTCACTATGTTGCCATTGGTAGAGTCCTGTAGTGTCACAACTCACAACAACCTCCAACTCTTGTGCTTAAGTGATTCTCTTGCCTCCACCTCCCAAGTAGCTGGGACCACAGGTGGCCACCACAATACCTGGCCATTTTTTTGTTGCAGTTGTTATTGTTGTTTAGCTGGCCCAGGCCAGGTTTGAACCCACCACCCTCAGTAATATGCTAGTGTTTTTAAAAACAAACAAAATATGAGAAGTAGTCAGAGTAAATTAAATGGTAAATGTAAATCACATAATGAAGAATATAAAATATGGGCCAGGTATAGTGGTTCATAGCTGTAATCTAACACTTCCTTCCAAGGCAGGAAGATTTCCTGAGGCTGTAAGTTTGAGGCTGCAGTGAGCTATGATGACACCACTGCACTCTAGCCCAGGCAACAGAGTGAGACCCTGTTTTCAAAAATACATATAAAGACAGTAGAACCTCCATAGTTGACCGTTGACCTACATTGACCACCTTCTTAAGTTGACCTGATTTTCATAGACCAGGAATATGCTAAGGTCTAGTTCCTTATGTTGACGACCTTCATGTGTTGACCAATTTCTTATAGTCCCTTGGGTAGTCAACTTAACAGAGTTCTGTTATATATAAAAGACAAGGGTGGCACCTGTGGCTCAGTGGGTTGGGGGCTGGCCCCATATGCCAAGGGTGGCAGGTTCAAACCCAACCCTGGCCAGACTGCAAACAAAAAAACAGCTGGGTGTTGTGGTGGGCACTTGTAGTCCCAGCTACTTGGGAGGCTGAGGCAAGAGAATTGTCTAAGGCCAGGAGTTGAAAGTTGCTGTGAGCTGTGACACTATGGCACTCTACTGAGGGCAATGAAGTGAGTCTCTGTCTCTATAAAAAAGAAAAAAATAAATATATCAACATATAGTCAATGTAAAAAATTTTTGAATTTTTTTTCCCACATTCCTTCTTGTAACAAATATTTAAAATCTGGTGTATATTTTATGTTCATAACATATCTTATCTGGACATAGTGGCTCATGCCTGCTTCTTAGAATTTTGGAAGGGTAAGGTGGGAGGATCTATTGAAGTTAGGAGTTTGAGACCAGGCTGGACAATATAGTGAGGTTCTCAGTTCTACAAAAAAAATATATGTGGGCTTGCTGCCCATGCTCAGTGGTTAGGGTGCCAGCCACATACACTGAGGCAGGCGGGTTCAAACCCAGCCCAGGCTGGCTAAATAACAATGACAACTGCAACAACAAAATAGCTAGACATTGTGGCGGGTACCTGTAGTCCCAGCTACTTGGGAGACTGAGGCAAGAGAATCACTTAAGCCCAAGAGTTTGAGGTTGCTGTGAGCTGTGACAGCACGGCACTCTACTGAGGGTGACATAGTGAGACTTTGTCTCAAAAATAAAAAAAATATGTGTGTGTGAGAGAGACATCTTAATTTTGACCAGCATCAAAAAATCACGTGTTGTGTGGTGCTGGTACCTGAGTGAGTAGGGCGCCTGTCACATACACAGAGGCCGGTGGGTTTGAACCCAACCCAGGCCAGCTAAACAATAATGACAGCTGCAACAACAGAAAAATAGCCAGGCGTTGTGGTGGGCACCTGTAGTCACAGCTACTTCGGAAGCTGAGGCAAGAAAACTGCTTAAGTCCAATAGTTTGAGGATGCTTTGAGCTGTGACACCATGGCACTCTATCCAGGGTGACAGTTTGAGACTCTATGAGCTGTGACCAGTGCCTTCCATATAATACACTATTTCTAGAGTACATATGCATGTGTTCATTTTTTTGGCAAATATTTATGGAATAGTGCCACACTCCATTCTAAATGCTGGAATTCATCAGTGAAGAGGACAGATATGATCTCTGATTTCACAGAACTTATTGATTTATTTATTTTGAGATAGAGTCTTACTGTGTCACCCTGGATAGAGTGCCATGGCATCATAGCTCATAGCAACCTCAAGCTCTTGGGCTTAAGCACTTCTTTTGGCTCAGACTCACAAGTAGCTGGGACTACAGGCAACCGCCACAACTCCTGGCTATTTTTTTTGTTGCAGTTGTCATTGTTGTTTTTAGCTGGCCTGGGCTGGGTTCAAATCTGCCAGCCTCAGTGTATGTGGCCAGCACCCTGCTCACTGAGCTATGGGTGGCCGCCACAGAGAACTTATGTTTTATAGAGAAGAGACATATAACAACCAATTTCCAGTAGAGATAAGTGGAAAGGATGTTATTTACATATTGATTGATTTAGATACTATGCCCAGAGTAAAGAATAAAAATATTAACTATATATAGCCATATGAATTTTTGTTGTATGGATATCAGCCACATCATAAGGCTCCCTTATGTTCTTTGATAAAAAGTTTGAAAATTAGAAGTTTTAAACGGGGGAAAGGGAGAGGAGGCATGTGTAGTATCTTTTCTCTCGCTCTCTTTTATTTTTTTAGACAGAGCCTCAAGCTGTCATCCTGGGTAGAGTGCTGTGGCATCACAGCTCACAGCAACCTCCAACTCCTGAGCTTAAGTGATTCTCTTGCCTCAGCCTCCCAAGTAGCTGGGACTACAAGCACCTGCCACGACACCCAGCTATTTTTTGGTTGCAGCTGTCATTGTTGTTTGGCGGGCAGGGGCTGGATTTGAACGTGCCAGCTCAGTTGTATGTGGCTGGTGCCTTAGCTACTTGAGCCGCAGGTGCCGAACCCTCTTTTCTACTTTTGATAGGTGTAGAAAGGAGGAAATTATTTTCTGGATTATGGGGCTAGTGGTCAGAACACTCATGTTTCCTCATGGGAAGAAGGTCGTTGAGCTTGGAGGAGCCAAATCTATCCTTTGCCTTTCGTCCCTCTATTCAACAATGATTCAACAATGGTAATACACTTTTTTTTTTTTGAGACAGAGTCTCAAGCTGTTGCCCTGGGTAGAGTGCTATGGTGTCATAGCTCACAGCAGCCTCCAACTTGGGTTCAAGCACTCCTCTTGCCTCAGTTTTTCTGTTTTTAGTAGAAACAGGGTTCCTGCTTTTGCTCAGGCTAGTCTCAAACCCGGGAGCTCAAGCAGTCCACCCACTTCAGCCTCCCAAAGTGCTAGGATTATAGGTGTGAGCTACCACGCCTGGTCAGTAATACATTTTTTAAAAGGCTCTGCTGCCCTCTAGTATCTATAATGAACTACGGAAGGTAAATCAGAGAACTATACCTAGGGAACAGGTTCTATGGGTTTATTGGTAAGAATTTTCTTTTTCTTTCTTTTTTTTTCCCTAGACAAAATTCTTGCCCTCAGTAGAGTGCTGTAGTGTCATAGCTCACAGCAACCTCAAACTTTTGGGCTTAAGTGATTCTCTTGCCTTAGCCTCCTGAGTAGCTAGGACTACAGGTGCCTGCCACAATGCCTGGCTATTTTTAGAGATAGGGTGTTGACCTTCCTCAGGCTGGTCTCGAACCTCTGAGCTTAGGCAATCCACCTGCCTTTGCCTCCCAAAGTGCTGGGATTATAGGCGTGAGCTACCGCGCCTGGCAAGAGTTTTTGTTAATGATAGAAAGTTAATCATAGTATTCTACTCTGAGTGCATTATAAATTCTTCAACGATTTTATATTTCTTAGATAAATATAGATATCATTGGATCATTTACGTTAATTTTCTTAAGAGTAACACAAATTTCTAGTTGACATATTTGTACTGTCTCATTTTTAGAAAGTCAAAAGTGTTTCTTAAAAAGGTATTGTGGGCTGCTTTTTTGTATTTTTTTTTTTTTTTTTATTGCCCTCGGTAGAGTACTATGGTGTCACAGCTCACAGCAACCTCCAACTCCTGGGCTTAGGTGATTCCTTTGCCTCAGCCTCCCTGAGTAGCTGGAACTACACACACTGCCACAACACTTGGCTATTTTTTTGTTTGGCCGGGGCTGGGTTTGAACATGCCACCTTTGGTATATGGGGCTGGTGCCCTACCCACTGAGCCATAGGTGCTGCCCACTTTTTTGTATGTTTCAGCTTTACAAACAAATAATAGTAATTTTGAGTACAATGTTTCTCACTTTGAAATCTCTAATTCTTTTATTTCCTTTGGGTAAATTCAAATGTCTGTTTCTTGTCATGTAGCACTTTAGTTTATATTACATTTAATTGGTTATTTTATATAATTTCTTGTAAAATTGGGTTTTCTCAGTGCTTTAAAATGGTATTAAATTAAGAAAGGATTATAAATCATAGGCCATATGCTTTATGTATAAATGATGAATGTCACTTCATCTTTGCAGATTTTGAAAGACATAGCCAATCGATACCACATGATGAACGGCTCCAAGGTACATTTTGTGCCTGGCTGGGATTGTCATGGATTGCCCATTGAAATAAAAGTATTATCAGAGCTTGGTAGTAAAGCCCAGAGTCTTTCCGCTGTGGAACTTAGAGAGAAAGGTAAATACTCTGTATTTCTGTTTTAAAATTATATTTGTAAACAAAGAAAAAAGAAAAGTTAGGACTTTATCAAAGTAACCTTTGGTTTTGTTTTGGTTGTGAGATATGACAAAAAAATTCTGTTTAATTGATTTTTGTGAGAATTCATGTTTAGAGATTGAAAGACAGACTTTATGAGCATTTCTAATTATATTGTTCAGGTCCTTACCGTTTGTATGTTATGAAATAATTATTTTGGTCACTTTTTTTTGAGACAGAGTCTCAGTTTGTCACCCTTATGATAGAGAGCTGTGGCGTCATAGCTCAGAGCAACCTCAAACTCTTGAGCTCAATCGATTCTTTTGCTTCAGCTTCCTCAGTAGCTGGGACTACAAGAGCCTGCCACAACGCCCGGCTATTTATAGAGATGAGGTCTTGCTCTGGCTCATGCTGGTCTGGAACTTGTGAGCTAAGGCAGTCCACCCACCTTGGCTTCCCAAGTGCTGGGATTACAGGTGTGAGCCATGGTGTCTGGCCTATTTTGGTCACTGTTTTGTTTTTTACTTTCCTGGATAGGACTTGTCAACTCATCTCAGGTGCTAAACCAAAAGTATATTCTAAAATATACATGTTTTAAATTAATCTCTTTCTTTCTTTTTTGAGACAAAATCTGACTCTGTCCCCCTGGGTAGAGTTCTGTGGAGTTATAGCTCACAGTAACCTCAGACTTTTGGCCTCAAGTGTTCTTCTTGCCTCAGCCTCCCAAGTAGCTGGAACTACAGGCACCTGCCACAATGCCTGGCTAGTTTTAAGAGACTGGGTCTTGCTCTTGCTCAGGCTGGTCTCAATCTCCTGAGCTCAGGCAATCCACCTACCTTGGCCTCCCACAGTGCTGGGATTATAGGAGTGAGCCACCAGGTCCGGCCCTTAATTTCTTTTCTTTTTTTTTTTTTTTTTGAGACAGAGACTCAAACTGTCACCCGGGTTAGAGTTCTGTAGCATCACAGCTCACAGCAACCTCCAACTCCTGGGCTCAAGCGATTTTCCTGCCTCTACCTCCCAAGAAGCTGGGATTACAGGCACCCGCCTCAAGGCCCGGCTGGTGTTTGGTTGCAGCTGTCAGTGTCCTTTGGTGGGCCGGGCTGCATTTGAACCCACCAGCTCAGGTGTATGTGCTTGGGACCCTAGCTGCTTGAGCCACAGGTGCCAAGCCTAATTTCTTCTTTTTTCTTTTTTCCTTTTTTTTTAGAGACAAAATCTCACTTTGTCTCCCTCGGTAGAGTACTGTGGCATCACAGTTCACAGCAACTTACAGCTTGTTTTGGGTTTAGGCGATTCTCTAGCCTCAGCCTCCCCAGTAGCTGGGACTACAGGCGCCCGCCACAATGCCTGGCTATTTTTTTGTTGCAGTTCGGCCTGGACTGGGTTCAAACCCACCACCCTCCGTATCTGGGGCCGGTGCCCTACTCTGAGCCACAGGCGCTGCCCAGGCCCTTAATTTCTTATTTGATCATTTCCTTCAGTAGACTCAGCCAGGGTGGAGTATGTTGTTTCTTATATGTCATACTATAGTATAGTTGGATAAGATTGTGAAGATTTTTTTTTTTTTACTTCCTTATGAGACATAGTATCATTGATTTAGATTGAATTTTCTTTTTCCGGGTTAATATGAGGGTACATATGAGATTAGGTTACATTATTTGCATTTGTAAGATAAAATTCCCAGTTGTAGTTAAGTCCTTCACCCAGGAATTGCCCCATAACCCGTATATTGTACCCTTAGGTGGGAACTTAGTGAACCCCCTCCTTTAATTTAATTGTGTTTTTTCTCTCATGTGGGCTGTGGTTGTTAATCTGCTAGTTTCAAGATGAAATATTGTACTTTTTTGTGTGTATAATAAAATGAAAATTACTCTGTTATCTAACCTTTTCTCTCTCTCTCTCTCTCTCTTTTTTTTTTTTTTTTGAGACAAGGCCTCTTTCTGCTGCCCAGACTGGAGTGCAGTGTATACTCACAGCTCACTGCAGCCTTGAACTCCTGGGCTTATGTGATCCTCCTGACTCAGCTAATTTATTTATCTATTTATTTATCTATTTATTTATTTATTTATTGAGACAGAGTCTCAAGCTGTCACCCTGGGTAGAGTGCTGTGGCATCATAGCTCACGGCAACCTCCAACTTGGGCTAAAGCACTCCTCTTGCCTCTGTTTTTCTATTTTTTAGTGTAGACAGGGTCTTACTTTTGCTCAGGCTGGTCTTGAACTCATGAGCTCAAGCAATCCACCCGCCTCAGCTTCCCAGAGTGCTAGGATTACAGACATCAGCCACTGTACCTGGCCCTGTCTCAGCTAATTTAAAAAATATATTTATTTTTGTAGGAATAGCATCTCACTATGTTGCCCGGTTTGGTATCAAACTCCTGACCTCAGGTGATCTTCCTACCTCAGCCTCCCAAAGTCACTAGGATTATAGGTGTGTGCCCCATGCCCCCAGCCTCTGATCTTTTCTTAAATTGGAAATAATGAGGAATAATTTTTCCAGTTTATTTTTTCTGAATGTGAGGTCATTATATCTGGAAAATACAGAAGACAATAATAAATTTTTACTTTTGAAAATGTAGTTAATTTTAACATTTGTGGTAGGTATGTTTTGAATACCTTTAACTTTCAAATTATCTTTTTTTTGGGGGGGGGACACTTTGTTGCCTTGGATAGAGTGCAGTGACTTCACAACTCACAGCAACCTCAAACTCTTCAGCTTAAGCAATTCTCTTGCCTCAGCATCCTGAGTAGCTAGGACTATAGGTACCTGCCACAGTGCCCAGCCATTTTTAGAGATGGGGGTCTTGCTTTTACTCAGGCTGGTCTCGAACCTGTGAGCTCAGGCAATCCACCTGTCTTGGGGTCCCAGAGTGCTAGGATTCCAAGTGTGAGCCACCATTCTTGGCCTTAAAATTATCTTTCTATTAAAAGTTTTCATAGTCTGAATGACATATATAGCACATGTATTTAAAGAGATATCTGCTAAAACCATGTTTTAAGCATTGGAGTTCTTTTTTTTTTTTGAGAAAGAATCTCATTTTGTTACCCTTGTTAGAATGCCATGGCTTCGTAGCTCACCGTAACCTCAAATTTCTGGGCTCAAGAGATTCTCTTGCCTCAGCCTCCCAAGTAGCTGACAGTACAGATGCCTGCCGTAACACCTGGCTATTTTTAGAGACAGGGTCAGACTGGTCTCAAACTTGTGAGCTCAGGCAGTCCATCTGCCTTGGTCTCCAGAGTGCTAGGATTATGAGTTCATTGGTTTTAAAAGCTTTTTCTTTTCTTTTCAGCTAGATCATTTGCTAAAGCAGCCATTGAGAAACAGAAATCCGCATTTATGCGTTGGGGGATAATGGCAGATTGGAATAATTGCTACTATACATTCGATGCAAAGTATGAAGCCAAACAGTTGAGAATTTTTTACCAAATGTATGATAAGGTAATGAAGTATTTTTTTTCTTTGTATGTTAAAGTATGTGCCACATAATTCCAGTTTTAATGTAATATCTTTGTCTTTTATAGGGCTTGGTCTATCGATCTTACAAACCTGTATTTTGGTCTCCCTCCTCTAGGTATATACACATTTTTTGGTAACTAAAGGGGAGAAATTTGGGAGGCTTCCAGATATTTATGTTTACTATTTTTCAACCTTAGGACTGCATTGGCTGAAGCAGAACTGGAATATAATCCTGAGCATGTCAGTCGTTCAGTATATGTAAAATTTCCTCTCTTGAAGCCTTCTCCTAAATTGGCATCTCTTTTAGGTAAGATTTATTCATTGGTTAAGTATACTAAAGTTATGAAATTATAGCATTTGCTAACATTATTTACAACTTTATTTTTACAGATAGTTCATCTCCTGTTAATATTTTAGTCTGGACCACCCAGCCTTGGACAATTCCAGCCAATCAGGCTGTTTGCTATATGCCACAATCAAAGTAGGTATATTATTGCATTTTTTTGTTTTAACCATAAATAGGATCCATTCCATCATTATTATAAAAATAGTGCATTCAAAATGAGTTACGTGCATTTTGAATGCATTTCATCCTTGTTATTCTTTTTTTTTTTTGAGACAGAGCCTCAAGCTGTCCTTCTGGGTAGAGTGCCCTGGCATCACAGCTCACAGCAACCTCCAACTCCTGGGCTCAAGCAAGTCTCCTGCCTCTGCCTCCCAAGTAGCTGGGACTGCAGATGCCCGCCACAATGCCTGGCTATTTTTTTTTTTTTTTGGTTGCAGCTGTCGTTGTTTGGCAGGCCCGGGCTAGATTCGAACCCGCCTGCTCAGGTGTATGTGGCTGGTGCCTTAGCCACTTGAGCTATAGGTGCCAAGCCCAGCTATTTTTTTTGGTGTTGTTGCAGTTGTAATTGTTGTTTAGCAGACCTGGGCTGGGTTCGAACCTGCCAACCTCAATGTATGTGGTCGGTGCCCTAACCACTGAGCTATGGGTGCCAAACCCATCCTTGTTATTCTTTTAAAATTTAGCCAAGTGTAACTTAGTTATTATGTTTGTATAGATTTTATTAAGCTTCAGATAATTCTTTCTAAGCATTATGTCCCACTTTTTGGAAAAATGCAATAGAAATGCAATTTATGAAGTGTTTTGAGAATGATACATTTTGATTTTGAAGGTTTTATGAAATGATACTAGGAAATTAAAATGTTATTTATGGATTTTCCTTGTTTATTATTAGTAATTCTCTTCTAAAATTTTATGTTAGGTATGCTGTTGTGAAATGTACCAGTTCTGGAGACCTTTACATTCTGGCTGCAGATAAAGTAACATCTGTTGCTTCTGCTTTGGAAACAACATTTGAGACTGTTTCCACATTTTCAGGTGAAGATTTCTAGATTTTCCATTGTACTCATCAAAATGTTGTATTGATTTGAGTTCACTTCTTGGCTGAATGTTACTTATTGTGAATTGAAACAAATTTGGCCTCTACCTTTCTAGAATATATTTTACATTGATTATACTGAAGGAAAAAAAATATAATACATATATGTGTTTTTTTGAGACAGAGTCTCACTTTGTCACCCTCAGTAGAGTGCAGTGGCATCATAGCTCACAGCAACCTCAAACTCTTGGGCTCAAGTGAAACCCTAGCCTCAGCCTCCCAAGTACCTGGGACTATAGGCACCTGCCACAATGCCTGGCTATTTTTGAAGATGGGGTCTCGCTCTTGCTCAGGTTGGTCTCAAACTCCTAAGCTCAGGCAATCCGAATGTCTTGGCCTTCCAGTGTGCTAGGATTGCAGGTGTGAGCCACAAGGCCTGACATTAGAGGGAGGGGAAAAAAAAAAAAAAAATATATATATATCTCAGAGTGCTAGGATTCCAAGTGTGAGCCACCATT